GAAAGATAATAATGGTGGTGTTTAGAGATTTGTTTAGACCTTTGTTGTTTAGATCTTTCGTCTTGGGCTTTGGCTTTTGCTATGGGGATATATGGAAGGATGCAGCAGCTAGAGACGGGCTAATTTTTATCCTTCTTTATTAATACTTATTTTATCCCTCTTATTAAACTTATTATCTTGTGTCTCTGATTTTGCTGGTTACTTTAATTTTCCTTGGCCAGGCACAGGTCTTGTCAGAGTTGTGTTTTTCCTGTTCAAATGTGTTAGTGCTCTTTTGTATGTCAGGGTTAATCTCGGTAAACACTGGTAGTACCGTACACGATTGACGAAGACTGTGAAATATTGCAAGCATTAATATATAGTTCGTCTAACATGCACAGTTCCCAATATATTTTGAGTTGAAAGCTACAGCTTATTTTCTTCTTGTTGGTTTTGATGAATTGTGACTTGTGCTTACTTTATGTAGCTGTAGTAAAAAAACAAACAAACAAAACCAAACAAAAACCCACACCACAAAACAAAATAAAAAAACCCCAAACCAAAACAACCAAACCCAACCCTGTTCTTAAAAGGATCTTTCAGTCTGCCTTGAACCAAATAACTTACTTGCAGTTGGAGATGTCAAGAATACAAAACGGAAGTTTTGAAAAAGAAAGCAATGGCTAAGCATTTTATAGCTATATCAATAGATTTGTCTGAACTGTCTGCCATTCTGAGTTTTACTGGTTTTCACTTGTAGAAAAATGCAATTATTAGTGTTTAGTAGGATACCTGCTCTTTTTGAAGACCTTTGACTTTATTTATGTTAAGAAAAAAGGTAGAAGAATGTTGATGTTCTCATGGGAGAAATACACCTTTGCCTCCACTGAGAGCAAAAGGAAGCAACTTCCAGTTCTGTCTAGAGTTTCTTGGGAAATACGTTGTTTTGCATTTTGTGACAATTGGGGAAAAACATGCCTATACCTGACAAAAAGTCATTAATTCAGAAGTGGCTCGTGCAAAAGCTTTTATGAATTTTAGCTGCAAATTATATTAAAAAAAATCTGAGTTCTACTAAAACACCCTTTTAAAAAACCTTACTAATTTTTTCTTGTTGCGCATGTCCTTCTAAGACAGATTGTATTCTTCATATGTTTAGTGAAACATTTCTAGCATGTTTTAAGTTAACAGCTTAGTCCTTTGCTGTGGAACATTAAGTGATGTTTACCTTTGTCATTTCTCTGGAGACTGCTCTTAAATGTGGTCGTGCTGGACAGTATAGCTGCAGCAGGAGTAGACTTAGATTTTCTTTTGACAACACGTCTTTAGAGTTCTGTTAGTGTGGAGTCTAAATATTTTATGTTGGCCTCACTTCCCCTTCGTGATAAGGATTTGGGCTCTTTGAGCATGCTTTCTGATATGACCAGGACCAAATCTGAATTATCATCTGGCCACGGGAAACTTAGTTCATTTGTACTTTAATTTTCTGCTTTAAACATATTGTCATGAAGAAAAACAACTGTGAAGATGACTGAAGTCCCAGTACGGAAAATTATTGCTTAAGCTTCAGTGTGGAATGAATAAAGGAAGATGTGATGACATAAAATGTAACTGAAAGGATGTAATTATAAGGAGACCTCTTTATTGTTTTTAGCAGACCTTGATGCAGGAAAAGCATGAAGTTCATAGGTAGTAGTGAACTGCCTCCAGAAGGGAAACTCTTAAGAGATTTGGCAACAGTCCAAGTGCCTGTGCTAGCGTTGAAGGTGGTGGATTGATATTCATCTTATTCGTGTGTGCTGTGCTTTCATAATGTTACCCCATTGCTTCTACTATTCTGACAGCTTTGGATGGCTGTATGAGGAGGCATTTCAAGAGTTGCTGTAACCTGAAAAACATGTTTAACAATATTGTTGTGGTAGCCTGCTGTGCCTGCTAGAGGGGCCAACCAGTCGCTGCTTCTGTTTTCATCTAACTACTCCTGTTAAAATTGTAGCTTTTCTTGCTCTGCCCTGGGACTGCTCGTCTGGTGCTCCACCTCTGATAGTGGCCCTCATCAGTATTCCTTTTCTTTAATACAGGAGTCATACAGGGAGGATTTACCTGGAAACTTCTAACAGTGGGGTTTTCTGAAGAGTCTTTCTTTTCCCTTGAAAATAATTCTACAAACCCTTTTTGGCTCAAATTTCTTTGCTCTAAGGCTACATGTGGCATTATCAGTTCAAGACAACCTCCTTGCTAGGTATATTGTGTACTGATGGGTCATCCATCATAATTGAAACTTTCATTCAATTTTATAGTATAATGGGTCTGATAGGAGTAGCTAAAAATCTTGCTGAACACCTATTTTAAGTTTCTTTTAGCCTTGCTCCCTGTTTCTGCTAGTTTCCCCATCACATTCTCTTGATGGTAACATGTTACTGCTACTATTTGGACCTTTGCTATTTGGGAACCCTTGTCCTTTTGGAGTTCTTCCCCCTTAAGCTGTAAGCTTACACTTCTGTGTAAGAAAAATTAAAGAGCTCAGTATTGTCTTTAACCTTGATTTGACTTTTATTGTTTCTTGCATCTCTTGGCAGGGAACCAACTTAAACATAGTTTGCTCTGTAAATTGATATACTTTTCATCCTTGTCATTCATCCAGCCCTGTTCACTTTCATAAACATCCTGTATCAATTGGTGCTTTCTTGATACTTTGACTCAAAAATGGAGAGCATAGACATAGCTAGACTTCGTGTCCGAAGAGGCCGTGCTTGAGGCCACACTATTTGCCTATGCACAACAACTTGTGCCACAGCGTAACTGTGGTATTTATGTTCCTTTGACCCCTCACAGATTTGCCTGGGATGAGTGGACTTCTATCTCCAATCCTATTAAAACTCCAAGTAAGAGTGCAGAATATATTATTCATGAATTATTGACAAAGTTTAATGCAATTTGTGCATTTTGCATTATTCCCAGTTCAAAATATTGTCATTAGTTTGTAACTCTTGAGTGCTGTGTTCATCAAAGAATTAAACTGAGAACAAAAGTTAATAGGTGTTTTATTAGAATCACTTGCCGTAGGATCTCCTCTGATAGGAATAAAATTGGATGTAGAGTTGTATTTTGTCCTATTGAATTCAATACCAAAACCTACATTTCAAGGCATGAGTCAAAATTATTATAACAGTGTCTGTTCTTAATGGTCAGTTCAAACTAATGCATTAGCAACAAGATGCACTACTTGGAGAGTATGGTAAAACAAAAAATATAAATAAAAGTTGATATACATGTAAGAAATTACGTAGCATGTTTTTTTTTCAGTTTAGAACACAATTATCTCTTGGCTTTGTTTTTCAGGTAGCCGAAATGCATGGGGAACTGATTGAATTCAATGAGAGGCTGCACCGTGCTCTGATGGCTAAAGAAGCTCTTGTGTCCCAGATGAGACAAGAACTAATTGATTTGAGAGGGCCGGTAAGTGTTTGTTTATTACGGTGTAGAATACCACTCTGGAATAAGCTTAAAACCATTACTCGTGATGAAATAAAGTATATATTAGCTTATAAGAAATAACAGCTAATAACACATCTGTCAAGAACACCTTACTTGGTATTTTTGATAGCGTTTGAGTCTCCTTAGCAGAATTGAATGTAAAATAGATATATTCAGACAATAAAATTGTTTTCTACCAACTATTGCTTCACTTTGGCTTTTTGTGTTAAAAGAAAAGATTGGGGAGGAAACAGGAGGAGTCAAGAATGTTCCTAATAGTTGTCCGTCTTCTGAGGGAGGCATATTTTGATAATTTTTGTTGATTTTTTGTTTGCACTGGAAGCATTCGTGCCTATTTTATCAAAACATTTATGTAAAGTGACTGATGACAGTTCTGTGTGCATTAGTGAAGCAGGATTTCACCTACAATTTTCAGCCTTTTAGATGGAAACAATCACATTATTGTGTTAAGAGATGATAAATGGTAAATCACATGCATATTATAGCTGTACTTTCTTACTTAGAGATTTTGGGCTGTATGTCCATGTTCAGAGATTTTGTTTTTAACCATGTGTCTCCATATCCTAATCCAGTATTTAGATATTGATACTATGTTTTAATGTATCAGACACCGAGAGAAAACTAATTCCTAGAACTTTTTAAGAAGTGGAAGTGGTACTATATTTTTAAGGGCTAGCTGAATGCTAGTTGTTACTAGTTATTGTCCAAAATGAAACTGTGAATTGAATACAGTCCTAAAGACTTTTGCATTATCCTAAGAAGTGGATACATTTTAATTCTATATTAGTAAACAAAACTCTGTGCTGATAGTCTATCTGTTACTTAGTAGACTTTAATTAGAACTTTCAAAGTTGGTAAAGTGTGTAACTGCCAGAAATTGTGGGCTATGAATATTTGATCCCCCTTTGACTTGTCTGAAAATATCAGCCAAGTTCTTAACATTTTATTATTAAAATAGTATATAATTTGCAGTTTGTTATAAAAATAGCTTCAATGATTCTTCGCTGTCTTCTCCTTTCCTTTTAATGCTGATAATCAATTTTAATGGCTGTATTTTATAAATGAATTATTCACAATGATCTTTCCAAATTTCTAGTAATTGAGTTTCAGAACTTCTGCAACAGAGGAATATTAAAACAAAAAGTATGTGCTTTCAAGGGTATGAAGAAGTATGTTCATGTAATGTCTCCATTATTGTGTTTTGCATTACAATGAACACCACTTCAATTACCATCTCAAAATCAGTAACCAATCTATTTCAACATAGATGTGCAAGCACTGGAACTCATTAAAGTTATCCTTTTTCTTATTTCCAAAGTCCACACTCTGTTTTTGAGGTTTTTATGCAATGAATGCAATTTTATGCAAGGAATGACTTAGTTTTTGCTGAGCCATATCCCTTTAATTTTGGGAAGGCAAAATTCAGTTTTGTCTTGTGTATTGGGAGGTCTTGAGCTGGTCTGTAAAAACATCTGGGAAGTAGATTTTCTTTAGTCCCCTTTGAAATTTTATATTGCTTTGCAATAAATAAATATATGTTGCTTTACAATAAGCAATAATGTATATTTAAGTTTCTTAGGCAGTAAATATTCTGAAAAACAGTAATATGCATGCAAGATACATTATAGAAGTACACTGAACCAATATTTAACCAATGTAGAAGCTGCCTCTGGGAGTTCACAACTTTTAGCTGTTTTTCTTCATCAAAACACACTAACTGTTCTGGGTTATGCTTTACATTTTACAGTATTTAAAGGTGAGAAGATATCCTTTTATGTTTAACTAGCTTTAAAGTAAGGTAAAAAGCTATTGCTGTTTCAGTTCTAAACGCTCACTCAATCTTGTTTTCTCACAACTGCTAATTCTTTTGATTCTGCAGGTGTTAGTCCATCATTGCCATCTTTATGAACTTTCGTAGCTATATAATGTTTTGGAAGAACACAGCTAAAATAAAATGATCATGTGTCTTTCTCTTAATGGAATGTTGGTTGTAAAAGAAACTGATCACTGGGTTTTATATGCTTCATCTCTTCCCATAAATTGTTTATACACACAATGTACTTTGTTTTAACATACTTTGCTTATAAAGGCCTAATAACAATGCTTTTTTCTGGGTTTTCTGTACCTTTCAAAATTACATGCTTTTACAAAACCCAATTTGTTTCTTTATAAACTGTAGCAAATTCTAACATGAAGAACTCACAAGGGTGATATGTTCATAATCCTGTTGCATGATTGTTTATTTTTCTTTTATTGTTTCTCAGTAATAGTTTTTATTGGCATTTAAAAAATTGAATGTTGAATTGTAATTTCCTTATAATATTATGCTTTCTTAATAGAAAGCATAATAACCAGTGTGTGGGAATTATTTCTGTTTTGTAAATGTAGGTCCCTGGAGATTTGAGTCAAACATCTGAAGATCAGAGTTTGTCAGATTTTGAAATGTAAGTTTCATAATGCAAATATTTTTCTCTTTGTACTGTCTTTATGGGAAAGAAGAATAAGCAAACATTCAATAATTTGCTTTTCCTATATAATTTCCAATAACTGAATTCTCAGCTGTGGTGGTCTGTTGTTTAAAAAGTATGGAGAGCTGCACAGTCCATGCCCTAGTGTAGTTTTTAATAATGTTGAATGCAAGGAGTTTAGATTTATGAATATTCTCTTGGAGTGCTCTTTCAGTGCACTAGGTCTTGGTATTCTAACAAAGCACCCAAAAGTTACTGTTTTCTGTTGCTTTGGGTTTGATAGATGCTAGATGCTATACATAATGTGATGGACTTTCTCATTGTTACAGAATAACTCCTAATCAATGCATACAAATAGTACTACAAAAAACCCCACAAACAATCCAGTTGGTCATCCCAGATCATTCTAGAGTGTTGTGATTTGGAATTTTGCCTTTATTAGTCAGACTAATGAATCTAGCTTTTTGTGAATGAGGGGGTGAAAATGTAGCTGATGTCTTTGAATTATGGAAATTTGGAGATGAATTATAAAGAGTGGATGGAAATGGCTTCTCCATAATTGTGCAGTGCTCTGCTGTTATTTAATAAACTCAGTTTTTTGCTGAGTTTCGTGAACCAAAGTGTTGAGTTTGTTGAAATGAATAGTTTTTGGTTCATGTGTATAATCAAATTTTGTCAAATACATGCTGTAAAAAAAAACCAAACAAAAACAACAAACAACAAAACCCAAAAAACCCGCAGAGGGAATTGTTTCAGTGCTCTTTTTCAGTTATGTTAATTTTAGGGAACACTTTTAGATACAGCAGGTATAAAAGGTTCAGGCAGAACTACAATTTTTCTGATACTCCATTTGAAATGTTAAGTTGCTTTGTTGTTCACTTTGATCATTATCTAAATCACTGGAGGTAGTTGCTTTGCAATTCTTATACATCAATATGATTCCATATTTTAAGTTTTTCTTTCTCCTCAGATCAAATCGTGCTCTTATTAATGTTTGGATTCCCTCAGTCTTTCTGCGTGGAAAAGCTGCTAATGCATTCCATGTTTATCAGGTAAGTGACACATCTTAACACAGATTCTGGGTAAAAGTTTCTGACTGAAATGGCACATTTTAATAATTTAAAGTTCTCAGTATAATTTCATTAGAGATCAGTTAATGAACAGCAGCAGTAACTTCATATATATTCATCCATAGGATTGTGTTGATTATCCAAATAGCATATTTTGAGGGTTGGTTTTTAATAGTTTAATACTTTAAAAGCATGCTACTAAGATGACTGCATTGACCAGGGTGTACACTAATTCAATATTAATCAGTAATGCCTTCTTCAATATGCATGTACATATTGTTTCAATTTTGAGGATATCAATGACCAGAAGTGTTGCTTGACAGATAGGTAGATGTGGCTTACTGTAGTAGCTTGCTCAAAAATGTTTTGAATGGTGCAACAAGCCTTCACTACGTGTCGTTGCACGTGTTCATAGTGTGTTCTGCTTCAGCTGGCTGTGAACTTAAGGGTTTGCGCTCTAGCCTGCCTTGTAGTTGAAGCTTTGAAATCCTATACTGTTCCTTGATTCCTGAATTCTTCGTTTCAGAATAATTATGCCCTCCATGGATAGAATGGCAAGGCAAACTTTAAACACTCTTTAATATGCTGTCCCAGGCTGTTTGTATTTCTTTATTTGTGGATTATTAGCAGCTGCAAAATTTTTCCACTTTTGTTTCAGCCACATGTACTTAGCTCTGAACAAGATTTCTGAAGCTTTTTAACATTTCTCTCACTCTGAATGATGATTTTTGTAGAACTTTGAATCATTTATGAAGTGTTGGCAGATAGTTGAAAAATATGGGAAAACACCTACCTTTTGGCCAGTAAATGACAATGAAAAATAAGACTTTTGCTAATGGAAAGAAAAGCTAACAATACTGAACAGTTAGTAATTTGTTTAAAGCATTGAATAATCAATCAAATTCAGGTGCATAAGTGTTTGTGGAAACCTAACTTGTTGACAAGTGTGATTATTTTTGCTCTCACATATTCCTCTGTTCTGCTGTCACTGGCTACACATTCTCAAACCCAGACACCAGTCTGCTAATGCAGAAATTCTTAGAAGTATCGATATCCCACCCCACTACACCCCTGTTACTCTAATGGTGTTGCAGTTCTGTGACCACTAGAGGAGCTCTGGTTTCTCCTGCTTGTTTCCTAGGTTGCTCTGTTTTACTCTTTTCATTCTGCTTTGTAATTTCTTAGGTTTCTCTTGTTCCTATCACGATGCACCATTTGCTTTCCACCCTATCCACCATTTCCTCACCAGGTTGGTCAGCCTGTTGGCAAAGGTGATCTTGTCCCATTCTGTCAGGTGGATTTCATCTCTCCCAGTAGTCCTTAATCATTAGAGACAGTCCCATGATCCCAAAAGCCGAATCTGTCAATGGCACCTGCTGTGCAACCAGGTATTGATCCACAGGATCCTCCTGCTGCTACACAAGCCTTTTTACTCACTGGCAGGATCTAGAAGACCAGCTGAGCCCCTATGCACTTCATCCTTGTCCCCAGTGCTGTTTAGTCACCCTTGATTTGGTAGTGGTCTTCTCTGGAATTAACGTTGCTGCCTGTGTGGATGAGCAGCAAAGGGTAATATTAAGGGGTACCTATCATGTACTATTTAAAAAGCTTTGAGTTTTAAAAGTTCAGTCTTTCCTCAAGCATTTTTACATCAAGTCTGTTGATCAAACAAAAGCTGGAATGTGATGTACCCCAGAATTTTCTTCTTTGTGTTTTTGTTTTTTTTCTCCTGAAGTTGCATAGAAATTTTGAGTTTCTGGCAGATAACTACAAAATAAGACAATTTCAGAAAAATACTTGGTATCTGAACAATGTCATTTGTGTTTGCAACAATATGACACTTAAATTTCTACATGCTCTGACTTTTTTTTTTTTTTTGAGTTATTTCTGCAGTACAGATTGAAATGAAGGCACTGAGTGACTATCCCCTCAATTTTTAAGTGCATTTCTGACTGTTTAGGGTTGGCACACTTATTAATGAGTTGGTGAGAAATGACATGTAACAGTACTGTCTGTACTGCATTAATTTTGTATCTTTTTAATGTTACTGCTATCTGCTGTTACGTGAAAGACAGGAGAGGGGGAATATGACCCAATAGTTGATCTTATCTTTTCCTGATACTCAGGAAAGCTTATGTGGATGCAATGAACACAGTTCCACGTTCCTTTCATATTTATGTGAAAAGTTAGCATAATTTCTAATTATCAAATTGTGGGCATGAATTGTTGCAGTGGGAGACTTATTGCAAAGAAAAGCACTTTAAAGACTTTTCCATGTAAGTTGTGAATAAGAAGTAAACTGAAACTATGGCTTTCTCCGGTGTGTTTACCAATGGTCTGTTGCTCACACAGGTTTTCCTCCTCATTTGGTTGGTTAGTGAAAAGTAGAAACAAAACAATTGTTGCAGCTGCTTGTGAATGAACAGAGAGTTTAGCTATAGGCAGCTCTTTAGTAAGAGCAGATGCTATGATAGGTGAAGGAATGGGAGGAAAACTGTCTCTGTATACTATTAAAGGTTCTTAAGTTCAATAGTAACATTAGTACTGCATAAGGAGGCCATTTTGTTTAAAAAAAAATGCTGCCAGTTTGGATGTCCTGAGTGGTTAAATGGCCAGGAAAAACTTAGAAAGAAATGAAAGAAAAGCACATAAGCACATATCTGTTTGAAAAAGGGTCATGGAGAATTTGCGTGTATTACAAATAGTTGCATTTTTATCAACAATTTTAATTTTTCAGTTTCATTCTCTTTGGTTGAATGGGAAGAAAGAATCCTTTTATATTATTAAACTTGCTTTTGTATTTTGAGTTTTGTTAGTGTTGTTACTACTAAGACATGAACCAGAAGCAATTTATTTATAAGGTTGCTATCTAATATGCCAAATCTATCTTTTTTTTTTTTTTTAAGTAATAAAATGCTTTTCGTTAAGGTATATTAGAACTGGATTAAAAAACATTAATTCTTTGAAGAACTTAATTTATTTTTAATTTTACTTGTAACTTGATATCAAACTTAGTTACTAATGAGTTTCATACTTTTCGTGCAGTTTGACTGTACATGACTATATAAATGGCATCATAAGAGCCTGGAAAGTATGCAGAGTTCTTATATACTATAGATGTTCTGCACATTCTTTTTTAATAGGAAGAATACTGAGATAAACTAAGCCTCCCAATTTATAAGAGTTTCAGGGCTTTATCCAAAATCTACTGAAGTGAGTAGAGGCTTAGATTTTGCTCTCAGTTTGGCTTGGTTAATGGCCTAACTACAGTGACTTGAACGAAGTTTAGGTTTTTTTATTGTGCTTTTGCACCTTATTTCTATTTATCATTGGCATGACATTTTAGAAAATATGTTGTGCTGGTACAGAGTGGGTTTTAATAGACTTCATCCATTACTCATCATCAACGGAAAACAAAGAACTTGTGATTGAAGGCTAAGCCTCTTGAGAAGAGGAAAAAAGGAAGCAAAATATCATTGCAAGATTCTAAAAGATTGAAAATTCTAGATTTACAGAAAGACAATTTTGAGAATTTTATTAAGTTCTTTATGTCTACAATATATGCTTGTAATGTTGGGCATCCATAGTGTGCAAAATTCTATTAATTGGTATATGTATTTGAAAAATGTACAAGTTCTTCTGAATATGCTCTATTCATTATCTATTCACACTAGCAATTTATGGGACATACGTAATGTGGAATGTTAGAAGTGTTATCTAGAATACACATAGAATGTCTGTGGTCAGACTAGTTTGTCTTTACAGAACAGCACAGAATATCATAGAATTCCTCTCGTGAACAGTTGTGTATTTGCTCAACTTTGTCTTTTAATATTTAAAAAAAAAGTGAGCAAGAATTACCTGTAGAAGTGACCTAAAACTTCTATAATTCTTACTAAACTTTGATCTTGGTACCTGCTGAGATCTTTTCTTATGGAAGAATACATTAATGACATTCCTACCAGTTTTTGATCTCAGTAGCAGGAGTATGACTGGAAAGAGTATCTGTCTAGCAAATAACTTTGTTTTCTGCCACTGTGCACATGAAAAAAAGAAATTTTCCTAAACAGACATACACTCTGTAGCATAGCACTACGATGAAACACTTGAAGTGATTGCCACATCTCTGGTCAAATATGTAGTCATCTGCTTGCTGAATATATATTCTGCATTTTATAGCTACCAGGAAAGCATTAATTTATAAAACTTCAGAATAGCCTCAATAACAGCACTGTGCATTTATCTTGTTAAATCTCTGCCAAAACATGTGCTCCTGATTACAGGGAATTTGATTCAGTGTTGAAATTGTGGAAGAGGATATTTACCAGGCTACCAGTATGTAATGAACAGACAAGGACTGGGAGTGACAATTAGTATAAATGACTGAGCTCATTTCTGAGAGTCCTCTTATTCATAATAAACATTACTTTTGCTTTATCATTTATTTCTCCAATGGCAAAAAATTAAAATGCATGTATAACTCTCTGTATCAGCTACATGAGAAATTGCTTGTAGTGTATCAATGTAAAGGAAAGTAGCAATATTGCAGAATGTTGATATTATTGAGATCATTACCAACATCTTTTGGAGTTTGGATTTCTCTGTGAGTGCTTGAGTAAGCATAACTTGAGATGTAAAAAGTGACTCTTGGTTGTGCTGGTTAATTCTGAGAAAAAGATGTCAAACGAACTTTGGAGAAAGCTGAAGTGTGCCAATTGGAACAGGCAAAGTTTGAAACTTTGGGTTTGGATAAGCATAATTTCTAGATATGCTAAATACTTATGACGTACTTAAAGCTAATTGGAAATTAGCCTTAAGATGCTTAGCCTGCCTGAAAATGAGCTCGTATGCGTAGTACTATTAAGGTAAGATGTTGCTGCCAAATGAAGATGTTGCAAAAGGGCATGGACCTTGACGATTGCTTTTCCAAATGCAGTTCTTGTAAATGGATTTCTAACATGGCTTGATTTCTTCTGCATTTT